GTGTTGTGCTGGACAAAACAACCAGTCTCCAAGGGCATAATACCACATGTGACAACAAGCCTGAACTTTCCCCTGCACAAGTATCCACCAGAGGAAGAGAGGCACTCTCATCAACATGTGCTTTCACTGACACACACACACTTGTGTTGGATTTTCCCACGGAGAATAGAAATGTCATCCCGATGAGCACGCTACACAAAGACGCCGCGGTCAGCACCACAGAGGACAGGAAGCCCCTTATAATCCAGGACTACAAGAAGAACAAAGGAGCTGTTGACTGCCTTGATAAGGTAATGTAAAGTTTCATCGATCCTGCATGTATTTCCTTTTCATTTATGTGAATCATAGCATTTTGTGTATGACCGATTCAATATGTTCCCCATCTCTTATTTATTGTTTTTTTTTTTATTGCAGCTTACTGGCACATACACCTGCAAGCTAATGACAGCTCGTTGGCCTGTGGCACTGTTCCACAAGATCCTTGATGTGTCTGCTTTCAACGCATATGTGGTGTGGACAGCCATCAACCCAACCTGGAATCAGGGGGAGAGTTTCAGGAAGAGACTTTTCCTAGCAGAGCTGGGGAAAGCTTTGGTGACTCTTATTCAACGGCGCCAGCACATTCCCCGCACACCAGCCTCTGCCAGTCTGGTTAAGAGTGTGCAAGCCCCAGCCACTGGCCTGGCTGCTCTCCCCCAACAAAGACACGGGCAGAAAAGGAAGCGCTGTGAGCTCTGTGCCCCGAGAGACAACAAAACAAGCCTGAGATGCTGCAAGTGTGATGCCTATGTTTGCAAGGCCCACTCTCACTTGACTGTCACATGCCACACATGTGCATGATACACACACACACACACACACACACACACACACACACACACACACACACACACACACACACACACACACACACACACAAGGCTTCATGTTGAGTTTGGTCTTTGGCTTTTCATTTACTTTCATTTATTCGTTTTGTAATATGTTTTCAGTGCCCATTTGTATTTTTACTGCAGTTAATTCATATTAATATTATAATATTAAACATAAAAATATTAAACACTACTTTGAGACATTGTTCACACAGCTCTGTACTCCTCTGGACTCTCTAGACCAAAGAGGTGACTTTACCTTTAGTAATGTGAAAGACGTGACTAAGACTAAGTTCCAGTCATAGTCAGGTGTGTGTGTTTGTTTTAGTGTTAATTAATGCTTGTGTGTTTTTTCTGCCAACATTGCCAATGTTGACTGTCACATGCCACACATGTGCATGATACACACACACACACACACACACGGCTTCATGTTAAGTTTGGTCTTTGGTTTTCCATGAATTTTTTTACATTCCATGTTCATTTTGTAATACATTTTTAGTGCTTATTTGTATTTTCACTGCAGTTATTTTATGTCTAATTCTGTTAATTTATGTTAAACACTACTTTGAGACATTGTTCACAGCTGTAGAAGGTTTAATAAAAATTTGTTGGTGAAAAAAATGTTGTTTGTGCTAATTTTAGGGGAGTTAAAACGGACCGTTTTGACTGGGAACACTAAACTAAGGGGCGGCAGGTGAACACAAGATCAGCGTTTAAAGGGACAGTTCTTGGTTTGAATCTCCTGATTGGCTGTGTTCTCTCTTTACTCTTCTCACCGATCCAAGACACATGTTTGTAACTGTGACCTGTTTAGTTTATCGAGCTGGGATAGGCTTTACTCCGTGTCCCCTTGTGACCCCCGTGATAGTAATATATGAATCTCTGTGTTACTTTGCTGCTAATATATATATAACAGCTGATATTTGCTGACCCAGTGAGAGAGAAGGGCAGTAGGAGCACGCCTACACTATACATATTAAGCCTTAGCACTGCAAATCATATAAATAAAGGCACAAAAATGTGTTGACTGTTAAATCTCTTCTATAAAAACATCAAAGATTATAGATGTGACTTGGCACATGTTTTACAGGTTAAGCAAAGTAAAGTGTTTTCTTTATGCAATGTAATGTCTATAAAGTGTTAAACAGTCCTGATAACTTTGAGCAGCTCTGTACTTCTCTGGACTCTCTCTATTCCCATTGCATACATATAGAGACAAAAAAGGTGACTTTACTTTGAGTAATGTGAAAGACGTGACTAAGACTAAGTTAAACTCATAGTCAGGTGTGTGTGTTCCTTTTAGTGTTAATTAAGGCTTGTGTGTTTTTTCTGCCAACAATGCCAATGTTCACGCCTCCTGTCAGTCAACATTATTGCCTCATAGAACACAAGGTAAGAGCAGAATAAATGTCATAAACATTGTCCATTTGAAGCTGGAGATTTTTCCTTCTTTTAATTCATATTAACTTGTTAACAATAACAAGAAATTCCCTGGATTTACCCACTGTGAGATAAAGTCACTTGTTGGATTGTGAGTTTAACTTTGCGCACTTTAAGACTAAAGGAATGAGGAAATAAAAGGAGATGGTAGTGGAACTTTTTTAAATATGCATTTGAAATTCTAATCAGTCAGGAACTAGATTCTCAAGATTCCAGTGTAATTAGATCTTCCTGAACACGAGCAACAGCATACCAGAGAGAATAAATGAGCCAAGAGGAACAAAGGCTTGTATAATCACTTCTCTAGAAAATAACCATGGCTAGTATGATCATCTCTCATATAGACTATTGTTTCACGTCCTGGTCACTTGCTTGTCCAACAACACTTAAAACGATTGAAAACATTTATAAAAGAAGTTTAAAACTACTTGACAAAAAACCGACTTCCCACCACCACTGTCATGTGTTAAAAAAACACAAATTGCTGAATTTCAATAACTTAGTGAAACTTAAAAGAGTGAGTTTAATATATAAAGTCTTACACTCTCTTGCTCCACCACCACTAAAGCAGTTCATTAGGCATAAAGAAAGCTCAGACAGGACCACTCGAGCTACAACCCGAGGAGACAAAATGCTGTCCGTCTCCACAGACGGACAGCATTTGGGCAGAACGTCCTTTCTGTCCAGGGTGGCCATCTGTGAAGGAGTCTTCCTCAATCCATTAGAGAATGCTCGACATTCAACTTCTTAAAGGCACAGGTTAAAAACTGGTTATGGACAAATCAAGTGTGTGATCATGTATAAGTTGTACAGTTTTAATGTTTTATTTGGGAAAAGAATGGTGTGTATGTGTGAGTTTGGTGATGGAGTTTTTATTATGAATGAATTATGAATTTTTTATGAATTATTATGTCTATTTTTTATGTTTTATGGACAACAGATGGAAATTAGCCCTTGGCTATAATCTGGTATGTTTACATTCATGTAATTTTTTTACATGTAATTAACATGCACTGTCCTAAAAAAAAAAAAGCAGACAATAAAAACACACAATCCACAAAAAGAGGTTGTTGCAGGAGTTTTTAATAAAGATGTGCTTTTCCTCTCAGTGGGCTGAGAGAACAACAGTGCACATTAGCTTCAACTCTGTTTTGAGACTTGAAAACAGAAATTTATATATTTAACTCTCCAAAAGTTGATTCTGTTCATCTGGACGTAGCGTTTTGTAGGAGAAAAGTTTTGTCACCCGTCCAAGTGACTTCTTCAGTCTGTATTTAACTGTTTAATAGGAGAGGACTCTTGGGTTGGACTTCCATTGTCATCTTTACAGTTTCCTTGGGAGTCCTGGAAACTGGCTTTTGTTCAGGAGGAGAGCGATAATTTGAATTTGCAAATTTTCTGTAGATCACAAAACCAGCAACAGTAGCAACAAGAAGCCCAGCAGAAGCTGACAGACCAACCATCAGCTCAACAGATCCATCCTCTGTGAGTCCTCGTGGCTGAGCTGCAGGTGAGAAACAGGTGTGAGGTGCTGTCAGACATTATCAATTAATAAATGGAAGAAGCAATGAAAGATCATAGTAAACTTTGGAATTTGTTTGTGTTAGTTTCTAATTTGTTTGTAAATTGTAACATCACTGATCAATAAATTTACATTAAAAACACTTGACACGATACTTAAAACAAAGAAATGAAACCAATTTAAAATCATATAAACAGAGGCTTCTGATCTTCTTACAATGGTTTTAAGGTATGATGGCTTTTGCTTTATTAAAAAAGAAAAAAAAGGTGCATTGTGTAGATTTCATCTAACTTAGGCTAAAGATGCCAAAACTTACTTATAGATTTAACTTTCAGCTGCACTACATGCTGGGCTTCAGAAACTGCTCTCTTACGGCGTCCAGTGTGAGTGCCTACCACATAACACTCATATGTTCCAGTGTCATTAGGGGTGGTGTTGAAGAGAATGAGGGACACATTTCCATCTTTAATTTGTGGATCACTCAGCTTCACTCGGCCACGAAAGGATGGATGCTGGATGTTTTCATAGAGACGATTTTCTCGGTAGAAGAAAACATGCAGATTTGTTCCCAGATCTCTCCTGATCCATGATAACTTTTCGATTTTACCGATACTGGAATCACAACACCTCAGTAGTGCATTCTCTCCAGCTTCTACAACTTGTTTTTGGTCTAAGTCAAACAGAAAAGAAAGAAAGTAAATATTTATATAAAGCACGTTACTGTCAAATGAGCCTTTGACGCTTTGACATTTTAACGTTCTCTTTCCAGAAGAAATATATCTCTGAGCCATAAATGTACAATGTCACGGTGGTGCTGCTCAACCTTTTTTTTTAATCTTATATATCCATTCCACCAAGAACCAGTAGTATAATAATTAACTCCATTTATACTATTATACTCCATGTTAGTGTTGTGCTTAATTCAAATGTCAACATTTTCCCATGTTTATCTACAAATGAAATGCAATGACTGACTGTTCATAATCCTTTAAAATTAAATTATCATCATATCAGTTGTCAAGTCTACTTTGGAGTGACTCAAAATACCTGCTTCGCCTGAAGTAAGCAACACAAGTTTCTTGTTAACAGAAGGGGAAAAACCCGAACAGGAAATTCGTTTTTTTTCTTTCAATCCAGTAGATAAAGGTCGAAAGTAGTAGAGGTAAAAAAGAAAGACAATAATAGGCAGACGCTGCTAGTGCTTAATAAAATATAAAACAATATAAAGTTTAAATAAACTGTTTCATATCATCAAGCATAACTGCATTACAGAAGGAGAGAGGAAAGAAGCACAAATCATGCACGTATTTGACATTTGGTTTTACTGGTCTTAATAACTACTGGGTTATAATGACCTTTTTCAAGACATCAGTGAAAAACTTATTTTAGAACGGTTACTTGAGTTATGAGAGCAACTGTCAGTATACTACAGAAAGCACAGCTTGACCAGAAAAAATATTTCAATTAATTATTTTCTATATAATTTTCTAAACTTGTTTGCGTATACTTGTGCTGTTCAGCTTACCATCGAGAGCAGAAGCAAATCCCCCAAAATATGTAATAAGGAAAAAGCAGAGGAAAGGTGTTAAATCCATGGCTGTCACTGGCTGTGTGGCACACTTTGGGGATGTGGGAAATGAAGACACAAACGTTGGACTCTTTGTGATGAACAGTGCATTTATTTACAGTGGTGTAAATAATTCACACAAAAACTCCCGTGCACTCCCTTGACTCCAGTGTCGTGCCGTCTCCCAAAAGTCCATGTTTTTCTTTGCTCCCCTGTCTCCTCTCTCTGGCCTTTCACACTCCTCCTGGGGGAGACAGCCATAAAGTAGTGATGGCCCGCTTGAAGCTGACGCTCCGGTGCGTGTGTCGAAGCTTGATTTGTTTGGCCAGAGTCACGTGATCAGTGACGCCCGAAGCTTCATTTAGAACCTGACTGCTTCGGTGTCTGATTCAATGGTTTATAAGGAAGCGAATTATTCGCGGGATTTGTGGAGTGTTTGGTGGTGACAGATAGCGAACCACTGATATTTCTACTGAGAGATTTGGAGCCAGCGAGGAATAGAGGAGGTTCTGTTGTGTGGGAGAATTTTGAGTTGATTTTTGTCAATCGGGTGGGTTTTCCAGCTTTGTGTTCTGGCAGTTTGCTTTTGTTTTGTGCGTGTTTATTATATCTGACAACGGGACAAACTTAAAATGTCAAAAATCTGCTTTTCATAATATAAATATCATTAAATAACTTTAGAAAGACTTCTATTTGACTCTTTACATTTAATGTTATAAAAAGATATTATTTGTTTTAAATAATCTTAAACTGTTAGTCTGCCAAATGTGCAGCAATTTAATTGCTTTATTCTCTTTAGCTGATAGTTGGTGGGGCCCAGGTAGACTGTATAACTGCATCTCTACCAGTTTCTCTGCACTCCAGCCTCCTCTGTGCCATGTGAAGGGATTTTCCTTAAGGCAGGAGAAATTATCTCCACGAAAAGGAACAGGTTCGGCCATCGCACACTAACAAATTCTCTTCTTAAATAAAAATGAAAAAGGGTTACCTTAAATGCATCATGTTTTTAATTTACAAGTTCATAAGCATTTTCCGTTTCCAGTTCACAATCAATTCTGCCCCCAGGTCAAAAATATGTATAGGAAAATTTCCCTAATGTAATATTATTTATAAAAATACCCGTCTAGCGATTAACTGCATAAGTGCATGGAGGCAGGACCTCAGAGCAGAAGCATACTCCATAATGTGTTGTACATTATCATATGTATATTATGTAACGTGGTATCAAAACATCAAAAAGTCACAAGCAAAGAAATACCACACCATGGTGCATGTTTAAACAAGGAGAGTTTACTGGTCAAAATTATGGATTAAAGAAAAACAACATTTTTGTCACCCCAAAAAATACACGTTTAAAGCAACACAAAGTGGCCCAATATCAGACAGAAGTCATAATAAAGCAGTTGGTTTTATTTTGTAGATTCAAGCTGCTCTTCATATTTTTGGCCACCAGATGTCACCAGAGAGGACTGTGTTGAAAAGCTCAGAGTAATGAACCGTTTTTCAATCCAAGCGTTAGTGCTTCAGAAAGCTTCATTTGGCCATCACTACCATAAAGCCACCTTTCTACAGCAGGCATCTCACTAAGAATAGTGACGTGGAACCTCACGCAACAATCCACCGTCAAAGAGAGCTCCACCACACTCCTAAGTAGCTCCTCCTACAGGCCGATCAGCTGCAGGTGCACAGCATGATCTTCAGGTGTGGTCAGCCACCTGGCAGGGCCACATCCACCAGGCATGAAGGTGCCTATCACACCGACACACATACACCTGCCTATACATACAAGCATGAAAACACAGGAATTGTAGCACAGTGCAGCAAAAACAGATAATATAATATGAGTCACCAACTGCTCATGGACCCTCGGTTCCTAAGACCCAGGTGTCATGGTCTGTGTGAAGGCAGGCAGGAAACTGACCCAATATGCAGACTCACAGAGGCGGAAAATTAAACTCAAAGAATCTCAGCTTTATTGCTGGCAAAAAGGAAAACAGAAACCAAACTGGAAAGCTAGAAAACAGAACTTGAAACAGAACACACAGGCTAGGATGGGGATGATGCAACAACGAACGGGAACACACGCAGACATTAAATAGAGAGGTGGGAAACAGGGCAGAGAGCAAACATCTGGGAAACACGGCTGACAGTAATTGCAAATATGAGGTGGGGAGGAAGCAAAACAGAATACAATGACCTTCAAAGTAAAAATCCACAGACTAAACTCAGAGGCACAATGCTAACACAGAACCAAAACCTAAGAACTAACAAACACACATCAAGAAATCTAAGATTAATAATACAAAACAGAAAACACTGGGTCACCGACCCAGGACTGACACCAGGTTCCTGACAATGGCATGGAGAACAGACTTTGACTTAAGACAAATATGACACAACCTCTTTCTTGCAACAATATGGGACTTTAGTGCCAGGGAGGGATCTAGAGGGTGGAAATCAAAGATGCATTGTATATATGGTCAAAATTCATCAAATGCAGTTAGTATGCACGTGTTTCATAGAAATATAGTCTATAACTTTATTTTCTTAAGCCCACATAATTAAACATTCGAGTTACATAAAACATGTGAATTTTGACATTATGTACTATATAGTCTATATAATAAGTAAATAAGTATGAAAGCTACACAATGTGTGGTGGTTCATGCAAGAATAAATGTTTCACATTTGTTTTTTATTTGAAATAATCAAAATGTTACATCAGGGGTGGGCAACTCCAGGAACTTCAGGACATGTTGAGGAGGTCATTTAGCCATTTAAATCAGCTGTGTTGGATCAAGGACATCTAAAACCTGCAGGACCTGGAAAGCTAGAAAACAGAACAGAACTGTTTCAAGTCCTGCTTTCCAGGCCCAGGCTCCAGGTCCAGGCCGGCATTACATGCTTGCATTTACACAAAATATCAGAAATCTGCAATGTCATGAAAGATTTTTCACCAGTAGTTTAGACCTGATTATTCATGCCGATTGGCGTTTTTTATCTTCACAATCTCTCATCCTGTTTTGCTTCCTCCGTCCTGTTATGGCTGATTAGTTCCTTCTGTGTTCCCCAGCTGCCTGCACTTTTCATTTGTATTTTGCACACCCACATATAAAGACTCACTTTTAGTTAAGGTTCCATTCTGCCTCAAGAGTCTGAATTTGGATCCACATTTAGCGATGTGCAAATAGAAAATAGAAAAACATTTTTTCAATAATCATATGAAAATGGCTTGATTGGTCAGTTGATTCTATAAACTTATGTAATGTAGTAGTTGGCTGTAGAAGTGCTTGGGGAACAGAGGGTGCTGCTTGTGTAACTAAGGAGGATCTGTCATGACCTCTACAGTGGCAGTGCTGTGGAAGGGGACATTGATTTTTACGAAGCATCTCGCATTGTGTAGCAGTACCCACTGGTTTAGACCAGCCATACAATCAGTCAGGGGAAAAACAATTATTTTTCATGTGTGTTTTTCTGGCATTTTCCCTGAATGGTTCAGGGAAAATGCAACTTCGAGTTTGAAGCTTGTATCTGTTTCATATCAGCCATCATTAGTGTAATTATTTTAGAGAATTAAAATGATTATTTAGGAAATGCTTAGGAGAATTAACAGAAATATGGATTTTATGCTTGTGAGGAATGGTACAAAGCAGCATAAGCCTGACTGTCAGAACTAAATCAAAAACTGTATATGGCTGCCTAACTCATTTCTAATAAAACAGTATAAATTGCCATTCTGGTATTTTTTGGACCATGTGCAGTTTTAGTCCTCTAGAGGGCACAGTTACCCCATGACAGGCCATAACAAATATGTTTTCCTACGCCACCATCTGATCTTAATCTGTTACACAATGTTAGAGGCAAAAGCTGCAGAAACCTGTGTTTCTGGCTGACTTTTTACTAAAGGTATTTCAAAGACGTAAACAAGAAGAAAATTTGTAGGAAAGAACCTTAAAAGAATTTTTTTTTGGCATGTAAAATACTTTTTTTTAAAGTTCTGAGTTCAGGTTAACCCGTGAAACCTGAAAGCGGGAAACTGGAATACAGGAATCAAAGAGTAGCCAGGAATATTGCTTAGTCTGGATCCACTAGGATTTCAAGAAGTGCTGCCTGACTAACAACCTGATTTAATGTCAGGGCCTAAATGACAGCTGAACCTGCTAAATCACTTACACTTTCACTTACTTAATTCGTTAATTGCATCTCTCTCTTTTTTCCTTTTATCTCTTTGGTTCAGATTCTTTGTCTTTCCTATAGAATAGCGACATTCTTAAAAACTGTACCAATTTTCTTGGTACATTTTCAGCTGTGCACCTCAAGTAGTGGTGGGAGAAAACCACACTACACTGTAAATCTCAAAGAGGAAGGAGGTGGGCTTAACTGGTGTAAGAAATAGTCTGAACCTCATGTGACTTAACGATACGATGGGACAAACCACTCTGCTTTGCATGCTCTGTAAGTATAGACATTTGCCTATATTATAAAATAATTAATTATTAAAATCTGTCTATATTATAAAAATTACATTACTAATGTCAAAGTTGTACAAAAAGAACACTAAGCTTTTACTTTCAAAGTTGCAGACTTTAATTTTACAAGACAAATTGAACTCTAAAATGTGAGTTTCAACATAAGGAAAACAAATGCGATGACCAAATGTGCAAAAAAAAATATTAACTGGTTTAAAAGCTGGTGTATGAACTTTGTAGCTACCGATGAATAACATATTCTTTTGTGGGGGGGATTTTACTGTTATATCTTTTTCACACATTTGAGGTATGAAAGGCATAAACTTCAAGAAAGAAGAAAAGAGCTCTCAGGATACAATCACCGTTGAAATGACCAGAAGAGGTCACCTGTAAAACAAAACACTAAACATTAAACTGGTTAAAACTTTTCTTTTGAATGCGATGATGTTTTCATGGATTTAAGCAGGATGCACAGATGCCTTCCTTTGGGTTAAGCTACAATACAATACAATTTTATTTAGATAGCACATTTAAAACCAAAAGTACACCAAAGTGCTTCACAGTAGTGCAATAGTCATTGTTATTAAACATTAACAAAGTACAAAACAAGCACTAGTACTCGTACTATCAGATGGGAAGCACTACTTAAACCAGGAGTGTGGGTTAAATAAATTAACCAGATGATGCTCGACTAGGAGTATACAAGCTAAGAAAGTCGGCAAGATAGCTAGGCGCAATGTTTTTTATAATTTTAAAGGTAAGCAACAAGATTTTAAAATTAATATGATATTTGAT